CAATGAACTATCAGCTGAAAGGGGAAGTGCTTGAATAGTGATTTTTTATTGTTACCCTCACTTAGCAAGTACGAACAGTAAGCCTACAGACATGCAAACCATACAAAAGCTTTAACACACCTGCCGTCCCGTGGTACGCGGAAGAAACTCGTCCCGGGCTTCTTGTGGGTTCTGCCATTGTTGAAGCACCACGATACACAGCAGTAGCTGCCGTAGCTTGGACCACCGGACGGCATGGCGTCAGCGCGGTCTGAAAATGTTAGTAAGTGGATGCTTCGCTGTCAAATTACAAAAAAGATATGTGCACGTCATAAGTGTACCAGCAAACCCCTTTGAATGATTAGCTAATCGATGCACAATACAAAACCAGTGATACATCTCTGACCCATAAAACTCTGACTTACAAAGATATACGTCAAGACCACGAACAAAGATCTTCAGAAGTTTCCAGGCCGCTATCCCTTGTAATGCAATGGTATCGCGGCCTGGAAACTTTAGAACACCTTCGTGCGTACGCAGTATCAGCAGTACATTGGGAAGAAAAATCGTAGTTAAAATTTGTGCGGTAAAATTATATTGGAAACGTCAAAAAAATTTGTGGGCAGCTTGCACTAGTGGCACAAGGCTAGCGAAGAAAGGAAGATGATGGCCACTTGGCTAGTCCAGATTTGCCTCCGGCACACCAAGAATTATTCGTGTTCCGAGCCTTCGGGAAATGCGTCGTGAAGCATGCGAGGCCCAGCAAACGCTTCTCAATATTTTGCACCGAGCCTACGACCTAGCTGCCCAGCTATGCTCAGCGCACAGACGCTCACGTCCGTGGCAGACGCAGCACGCCTCGCCTCGGCTTGATGCCGTGCCGCCTTTGCTATACTGCATACGTTGCACAATGTTCCCGTCTAACCGCCGCATAGAGCCACAAACTTTCTTTTTAGCGAACCTCCCAGTCCTTACAAGCTTCAGAAAAAGGTTACAATTGCGTGAATGAGACGCCACGTAAGAAACAAACTCGCACACACGAAGCGCAACGTGTGTGTGTGTGCATCTTTCTATGTTTGTTGCATGGTGTCTTTTTCGCGCAGGCGTAACCGTTTTCTGAAAAAATGACCCAACAAGACCAACAACATGTCATTCAACAAGCTTCGCTTGAAAACGTGCCTCACCTGTTATCTCACGCTTGAAAACGCTGACGCAGCCGACGTTGACGAAAGCGACGAAAGCTTCTCGCTGTCAGTCATGCATGGGCTTGTCGCTGGGTAGATGGTGTTTACGACAGTACGGCTGAAGAAAAATAATCGCGTAAGGTGTGTTGAATAAATCGTTTTTATGTATAAAGAACATACCAAATTTGGGCGTGTAATTATTAATTTGTGAAAACAATTCTCTTGCATTGATTATAACTGTTTTTTTTGCGCTTGCGCCCTCTGACGTTTGGTGGGAGCACTAGTTCGTTACGTAGTCGTGACGCACTTCCTGAGGCCAGGTTTTGCGGAGTGTCCGCTCTTGTCTTCTTCTTTCTCTATGACCGTACTTTACAAAACGCAGGAACTTGATCTCGGCGAATGAACGTACAGCTACGGTGGAGATTTTCTCACGAATAGAAAAGCCAAGTTTACTTTCGGGCAGCTATGTTCTGAGGAAATAGAATTGGGTAGTGCCGGCGCACCGCAGGAATCGGTGATATCACCCATGCTTTTCAACATAGCTCTCGTGGGGTCGCCAGCCAAGCTACAAGAAATCGAAGGGCTCCATTACAGCCTTTACGCCAACAACATTACGTTGTGGGTTACGGAGGGCTGCGATGGGCACATAAAACAGATGTGCGATCGAGACTATTGAGCGATATTTACAGAACACAGACTTGAGCTGCTCTGCGGAAAAATCATAACTTTTAGTATAAAACACACACAAAGGGGCCGCAAGCCGAACTGTGAGGTAAATGATGATCCCGGTAGAGACATATGTCTAACGAAATCCGATTGGCGACCCGTGCCTAGGGTAGATACTATACATTTTCTCAGCTTACACATCGCGGCAAATGGCCACAATTGGGAGACTAGAAGGCACAGTTGCTCAGACCATCCGACTACTAAAACGCATAGAAAACTGACCCAGCGGGATGAAAGAGGGTAGTATGATAAGGCTAGTTCAAGCCTTCGTAATGGGCCGAATAACATACGTAGCATCCTACCTGAACTGGCAGGTAGCGGAAAAGACAAAGATGGAGGGCTTAATCAGGAAGGGGTAGAAACAGGGGATAGGGCTACCAATGAACATGAGCATGAGTAAAAAACTCGATCTGGGTATCCAAAACACGCTGCAGGAATTCATAGAGGCACAGACTATAGCGCAGTATGAGGGCCTTTCCAAAAGCACAACGGGCAGACACATGCTAGAGAGTTTAGGAATTAGATATCATGCTCAGCACGGTGTCAAACTCGACGTATCAAGCAACATAAGGGATAGGCTGGTCATCCTTCCTTTGCCAAAGAACATGCACCCCGAATACCACAGGGATAGATGGGAAAAGAGAGCACAGGACATACAGAAGTATGGAAAATGTAAAGAGGCAGCGTTCGAGGACATGGCCAGATATGCGAGGAGGCGCAGCTTCGCGGCCGCTGTAATAGATCACCAGAATGTTTGCAAGACTAGCATCACTGAGCATGTAAAGACAGCAGAGGAAGTGGCTATTGCGCTCGTAGTAGCCACCACCACGGCCGAAGTGGTTATCAGCGACTCTAAGACGGCAGTCCGCAACTTCGCCAATGGCGGCATCTCTCCCGAGGCGTTACGAATTTTACTTGCGGGCAAAATTGAAAATAGGGATGTTTATGTATTATGGACACCCGCCCACACTTCCTCGCTCGCCGGCAACGAGGCGGCGCACGGCCCTGCTCGAGGGCTTACGAATCGAGCCGCCACCATCACCACTACCGCCCCGGCCGCGACGTCGGGTGAGGAATTGGAGTGGGAGGATTGCCTCACCAGTTTTGAAGATATTACCCAGCATTACAGACTGGCCAGGTGCAAATTTTCGCCACCATACCAAAAACTGAACAAAATGCAGGCGGTCACGTGGCGACAGCTGCAGACCAAGACGTTTCCAAACCCGGTGATCTTGAATCCCTGTTATCCAGAGCTTTATGCGATGCGCTGCAAGTTTTGCAAGGCCAAGGCAACTCTGGAACACATGCTATGGGAATGCGGCAGAGGTGGGGCTCCAGACAGGGATGCAGCCTTGAACCAAACACGCTGGAAGAGTGCTCTGCTCAGCCATACCCTTGAAGAACTGTGGGCCGAGGCCACCGCCAGAGCTCAAGGGCTCGTGGCCAACACTTAGGCGGGATATCTGCCCAGATTCCTGAACAACTCGCGGAACTTTTTTTTATAATAAAGTTGCGTCTCTCTCTCGATTATAGGTTGACCAATGTTTTTTTTTTTTAGTTTAGAAACAAAGTGAAACGTAGCACACCTTTAATTATATAGTTAAGTGCCCTAATTCCTGCTGGGGCCATCATCTTGTCAGATGTGCATGTGATGTCATCATCGGATTCATTGCAAGCATCCGCGACTTCCTAAGCAACGTCGTTCTTGCTGCCACCGCTGCCGATTGCTGGGCCGTGAAAGGCACGACGTCGACATTTACATGCAAACTGACGGTCCCGCTGTTTTCGCGAACCCCTAATCGTCTCATTTACACAGAATTTGCGCTGCATGGCACAATCGCTCGAGTCCTTGGTAAAAAGTGTCATAGACACTTAAAGTAACCTGTGTAGCTCTGCCAACGTGACATCGTTGCAGCCGCCCACAACCAATCGGTGATGGGGGTTAAAAGAAGACGCCTAATTTCTACAGCCCAGTAGGGAGCATGGCACAGTGCCTAAAGCAAATGCGAATGGTGACCCCATCACGCTGATTGTACAATGAACAAAGCGTGGGGCCTCAGGCACCTCAGGCCAGTACCAGTGCGGCTGCACGCCGGAAGGCAGTATCAGAAGCCCAGGTAGCGGGCTAGGGACTTCACGACCAATACCTAGAGAAATTGCGGGTTTCGTTGCTAACACGGCAGAGTGGCTGCATTAGCTATTGCATAAATAACATTTTTCTCAATTCTTAGGTAGTCAAAAAAGGAAGAGAGGCGTCTTTATTTCAGATTTTATGGTATATAACCTGCGTATGCAGCAGAAACTGCTTGAAGAACAGCGGGCGCGGCAGTTGAACGCCGTAAGCTCGGCGCTTTTGGTTCAATTGATCATGAATATAGGTTGAGATTCTTTGGTCTCGAATATAGGTTTACAGCTGGTTACAAACATTTTGGAAAAAAAAATGTAGACCTATATTCGAATAAATATAATAGGCGGTCGCATACCAAGAGAACCATGCATGTAGACCCACGGCTTAAAAAGCTTCACTACTGAATAAAGATAGTAATTCAGTTACTTGGGCAGAAAATGTAGAATAAGCTACACTTGGAAAGTAGGGTAGCAAGAATTACGGAGTATAGTAGTTTGAAAATTCTTCATTGTTCAAATCGGCATTCACAAACAACTTTTTTCACATGTCTGTCTTGTGTTACTAGATATCTGTTGGGTGTGCGAGACTTCATATTTATTGATTATGTTGTGTGTGCACGTGTGTGTGTTCACTTGTGTGTGTTCACTTGTCTATCCCACTGCTGGCCAGTTTTCATGCATGTTTAGTGTCCTGGTTTCTATGCAGCCTGTTGGTCCAGGCACTCGGCATCCACGTGTAGCAATTTGTCATTAAAAAGGTGATGATTATTGTCTACCTTGTGAAGAATATCACATGCTCTGAGACACTGATTTGACTTCATATCTGGGATAAACATATTATGTAGTTGTCTTGCGATTCTTAGCCTATTTAGAATAATATATGAAATACAGGAGTCTGTTAGGCTATGAATGGGCGAGGTAATGGGTGATTGACGATTTATCCTGTTTAGTCTGCTTGAACTCCTGATTTACTTGCTTGCCCAGTCTGGTGCACGAAGTGCTGCTGCAAACCCAGGTAGGCCCGTGCCCTGTTACGAGCCAGCGGACCGAAGCCACCCCGCACCGTCTCTCTTTCCCGAAAGCATCGCCGAAATTCCCACCTGCGAAATGTAAGTTTCTCTGAGTGCATTTGAACTGACTGCATGCTGATTCGCCATTTGCTGTTATATTTGTAATTTATTGATCTCTACCTCATTTAATGATTGATAGCTGTAAGATTTGTGTTGTAAACACAAATGACCAATTATCATTAAGTTCTGAGCAAGGACCCTTACCTGAGCAAGTACCATCTCCAATTTAACGGCGGATTTTAAGTTTGAACAATGTAGTTTTAGTTATTATTATGAGTAATGTTTACATGAGCAGCACAGAAGTACTTTTTGTTACAACGAAAACCGAATAGCATGAATTTCATGCACAGATCTTTTGCAAGTAGCCTGCACTTGGGGCTAAGGATCTTGTATTTGTTGAAAGGCTGTAATCGAATACACTCAAACCACGATATAACGAACCCAAATATGAAATATTGTTTATAACAAAGTAAATGAAAATAGTTTTACAATAGTTATACTGTTAAACCTGAATATAATGAAATCGATAAATTCCTGGAAAAATTGGTTAGTTTTTCGTTATATAAAGGTTCGGTGCAAAAATTCAGAAAGTAAACGTGCTAATTAAACAAAAAGGAAACTTAAGGCAGAGATAATCCCAAACACTCATTTTACAGTAAAAAACTGCTTTGTTATTGCGATAGAAATTGTATAGACATTCTCGGCGGGTTCTTGCTGTTTCCGCCATGTTCCACAAGTCCAAATTGACAACATGCCCCCGCGCATTGTAACTTTCACAAGCGGGTAAAAGCGTGCGAGCGCCTCTGAAGCAGAGATCAAATAAGTCGGCCCATTCCTATCGCCTGGAAAGTGCATAACATCACCTGCGTGTTAGAACTGCCATCGAATGCTCAAACAGAAAGTAAACCACCTGTCTTAAACAAGCATGAAACAATGTAGGGAGGGGGAGGGGGATCACTGGAGTAGCGATAATGAACTTGGATTTTAAGGGCGGTCGCGATCGCGGGCATGCTTGCTATCTCAGCGAATATCAGCGTTATTTCAACGCAAAGAAACTGTGTGAAAAGAGCAAACGCAATCGTTCTGGTCAAAGTCGAAGGCGCGCAATTCTTCCCACTGAAAGATAAGCGCACGCGCACGACCTTATAATGCCCCTCTCCTCCCTCCGCATTCGCGGGGCAAAGTAGACATGGGAGATAAGCGCCGTCAGCACTCCGTTGATACGAGCTGAGTGTGGTGGCTTTTTTCTTCTTCAGAGTTTCCATATATATAGGTACGTATACATATACTCTACATATACGGTGAATGGAGGCGGCGGCGGCAAAAACACAGCCGAAATTGCCCATATATATATATATAACTGCTATCGCAATAAAACAAAAGCAAAGCTTAATGTCGTCGCCCGCCACACCATGTGCGCGCAATGAACTATGCACGCACGCACGGCATCGAAAACGAAGAGCAAGCGACACGTACACAGACACTATCGCAGAAACTATTGGGTAAAGCGCCCTCCATATGCAGCGCTGCCCCACATATGTGAAGCTAACTAAAAGCGTGGCACTGCCAATGCGCAAAAGTAGTTTTTTTTTTTAATTTTGGTTTAAAGGGGGGGGGGGGGGAGGGGCACACCTGTGCATGTGACCGCAGCGGTGAGAAAGGGGGCTACGTAGTCTCTTAAAGTGCAGGCCCGCCTGCCCGCCTCACGCGGACGCGGCCCGCGTGCTTGCCGCCACCACTTCGGGGGCGGCAGCGGGGCGTTGGCGGAACATGCATGCTCGTACTAAAGTGCCCTAATGCGGAGCAAAATTAAGATCGTCCGTGAGGAAAATTCGTTATATCAAAGTTGTCTCCCACAGTTACTTTGTTACATAGAGGCCACAAATACATGTGCTCCTATGGAAGAACGGTGGATAATAGAAAAACTTCGTTTTATGAAGGTTTGTTATATGCAGGTTTAACTGTAGTGTTAGGAATAAACCTTTATAACCAATTTTCAGATATAACAAACTTATTTTCATCTAAAATGCAATCTTGTTATAATAAGGTTTGAGTGTATAACTGGGCATGACAAATGGAGGTTACTCGCACTTATGCATTTATTACAAAATCTTGTTGACCTATTTATTTCCACTAAATTTTGCATGACAGCACCAATTCAATGCACAATCCTTACATATACAGCATGCATCAGTATCACGTGCACAGAAAAAATTATATAGGGAGGAAAAATATGCGTCTTATATAGCGGAAGATATGATAGCCAATCTCGTTTAACTTTTGCTCAAATGTTCACGGTGTTTGTATTTTACACTTCATTTTTTGCGTCTTCCTTTTCGTTTTCAATGCCAGCGACAAGAGCATACCGGACCCGACATCACAGACGCTGACGCGTGACGAGGCCCAAATGCTCGGCTTCCTGGACCAGCAGGCCAAGGTCGAGAAGAGCATCTGCCGCCGTTATGAAGAAGACATGCTGGGGCAGGACTTCCCAGATCCGGCGACAGACTGCCACGCTCCAAGGTTTGTCTTGAAGTCCCGCTTTCACACCACCTACCTTCCAAAATGTTGAATGGTTTTAGATACGAAGCAGCTCTTTGATTAGTCTGGATAACTCTGTCCCTCCATCTGCTCTGCGCTCTGCTGGCCACAGGTGTTGGAGTGGTGCCATGTAGGTCATACCTTCCCTCGCAGTGTGCGCGTGTTGACGTCGCTCTCTCCGTAGCCTCTCGCCGCGTGTCATCTCTCGCTTCACCCTCTCCATCGCTCACAACATTCGAGCGCACATCGAGCGCACAGTTTTTAGCTGCGATAAAACTTACACGAAATCCAAACCACCTCGGCTGTCTTGGCTTTTCGAACAAACGCTACTCTAGTAAATGCTACACAGTTTCGCTTCTGACTGTTCTTGCAGCACTCGCGTCGTCGCCCGCTTTAACCGGGTCAACACCATGTGCATCGCTGCTGTTTTACGTCCCATCAGTATTCCCTTGTAGGAAATGGTCTATAATTTTTTCCCTAAAGCCACACTACAGAAAAAAAAAACTTATTTTTCGCGTATTGGTAAAGTACACTTTCACAGTGCCAAAAACACAACTCTTACCCCAAGACAGTGCTCTATGAGCGAGAAAATGTGTCAAAAAATAATGCAGGTGAAGACGCCACCTTGAAATTTGAACACCAACACAGTGTTGCATAGATTTTGATGGCATCTGCTGGGTCCAACATGGTTTCTAATCGATGAAAAGGGTGTACATTGTCATTGTAGGGGTCATAAACCTAACGTACCAAGTTTCTGAATACTTTATCGAGCTCATGTCCCGAAAATACGAAAAATGCATTCTGGAATGATTTTTCAAGTGCAGTGACTTTGGAGCAAAATTTAAAAATGATACTTAAATCTAGATTTTCTTCGGTAATGATGAACCTATGATTGCGAAACTTGTGACATGAAAGTTGGGAGAGTACAGTTCATCAATCTAAAACAGAGTTATTGCTGCTGTATAATGTCCCTTTAGGAACAATCCTACTGTGGGGGATTTCGTTATGGTGAAGCAGCGTTGACTCGAAAGCCATCACTTTTTTGCTTCCATCGGCAGAGCAATTGATATCGTTCCACGATTGAGGCTGTTTGCATCGGTTGCACGGTGCTACAGTGCTTGAATGCTGACCTTAAAGTCGCGGAATCAGTTACGACTTTGGCGGTCCCATTTCGATGGAGGCTAAACGCTGGGTGCCCTGTGTACTGCGCAGTGTCGTTACACATCAAATAACACCACATGTTCGAAATTTTCAAGTCCTTCGCTGTAGCATGCGTTATGATGATATTGTGGTTTCAGCATGCAAAACTCCAGGTAATAATAATAATTCATGAAAAAAGTGCCTTTCTCCTTTGCAATTGCGCGTGCAAGGCGCACACCAGTATTTGTTTCAATAAAGACAAGCTCAAAAGAAGCATGAGGACGGCGTGTGAGGCTATGAGGGTCATTTTAAGTGATGCGGGGCATGCAGCGTGCGCTCCATGTGTTTTCCGGTACAGGGATTGGGTCGGGCTGTGCTGCAGCTTTACTGGCCAACTACATGTATTGTAGCCCCTCCCCCTCTTCCTTTTTATTTTTTTAATAGTATCTTTCCACTCTGCCTCTACTGGCATTCTGCAGTAGGGTATGGTGCACGACGTCCGAATCACGATTTCTAGCCAAAATAAATGCGAAGAAAAGCTAGAGCAGTAAATAAAGCTAACATAAAGCAGTGACACACTATTAAATCTCTGTTGTGGCTGCTAACACGAATGACTTTCCGATATCCTCATTTCAATTCTTGCATTAACTTCCCGTTTTCTCTCCGGGCTTCTTGATTCACGTCTGGTTCTGCAAAGAAATGAAAAACAAATAAATCCTATGTAAGAAAACCAAAAACTCATAAACATGAGAAATATGATGATATGGCAACCAAAAAAAAAAAACGGAAAAATGCAGCTTTGTCTTCCTTTTTACAGGTAAAGTTCATTACCGCTAAGTCTATCTGTCTCTAAAGTAACATTGCTAGTCTGCCATTCCACTACAAACACATACTTGTCACATCATTTTAATGGCAGAAGCAAGCTTCATTTCATTTGTTCTAACCGATAATTTGTGTTCTGCCATTGTAGATCAGTGACTACGGTGCTTAGCTGCTGACCCAAAGGTTGCAGGCTCGATCCCAGCTATGACCGTCTCATTTCAATGGAGGCGATAGGCTAGAGGCCCTGTGTTCTGTGCGATATCAGTGCACGGTAAAAAACACCAGATGGTCAAAATTTCCGGAGCCCCCCACTACGGCATCTCTCCTAATCATATCTTTGTTTTGGGGCGTGAAACCCCAGATGTTAATATTATAACCAATAATTTGTTATATCCATATTCATTATACCGAGGTTCAGCTGTATCTCTGTTTGACTATCGACTCATACAGTCGAACACCACTACAACGAAACTGACGGGGTACGAAAAAAATTTGGTTGAAGCGAAAATTTCGTTGTAGTGAAATCGAAAAATTACAGCTGATCTGAGGTAGCAAAACAAAGAAACGTTTATCTTCAGAGTTCAAAAAGTGTCCGCTGCTTCCTAATGTTTCCCAGCAGCGTCGCGACATGATTCTCACCCATGCATAGCGAGGCTACGGTGAAAAGCACACAGAAACGCCTAAAACTGCCTTCGTGAATGAACCAAACTGTTGCATTAACACGTTAACACCAGCAGCTGTCCGCCGTCTACGTGTATCCGACAACGCCGAGATGGCAGCAGGGTATCGTGTAGCGGCAACTTCTATGCTGTTCTTATTATCTATCACTCCCGGCTAGCTGCTTTTGTTGATAATGCGGGCGAACAGCCGCTCTGATTAGTTACCGTACTGGTCAAGCGCGTACATCGTTCCGCGGTTGCACCCCGCAGCTGTGTGAAGGAAACCACGAACTGAGCGACTGAGCTTCAGCTTCAGATCGTCTGCAACCCAAAAGCAAACAAGTGGCTTGCTTTTACTGCAAGCCAGTGGCAAAAGCAGGGCAGTCTCATTGCCATCGCTATCGAGCAATGGCGGCGCCCATGCTTGCTGAACAGCGGCGGTTTCTGGTGGTGCCAACGCATGTTTTAGACTTCGTTGACGCATTTTCAGGTTTCGAAAATGCATCAAAATGTTAAAGATAGGGTTTAGTGCATAGCAATAAGTACCTCAGCCTGAAACTGCATCATGAATTTTTCGTTGAAGCAGGGCGGCTGAAGCAAAAATTTTTTCCTTGTGGCGACAATAATTATGCATTGACTCTTATAGACTGCTGACGGGGAACTGTGAGTTCTTTGTTGTAGCAAAATTTCATTGAAGCGGCGTTCGTTGTAGCGGAGTTCGACTGTACTGTCTTTTTAAAAAAAATTTTTGTATTCATGAAAGAAAAATGTTCTTTGTTTCAGTGTCTGTCAAGAGTTTCAGACTGCGCGCTTGTTCCTGTCTCACCTTGGATTCCTGTGGGACGATGTCACAAAGGTATCGAAGCCACTCTTACAACCGTTCCTTACTCCTGTTGTGTGCTGCTGTAGCTCAAAATATTTCTAAGCTGTGTTGAACTGGCTAGATGAATTCATTTTCCTCTTGCACTGGAGCATTTGATAGGTCTTCTGTACTCTAATCTCGTTAAAACAAAGTTTTATATGTATATGTTTGTTGTATCCGTAAATTCGCCATTAAGGTATATTCTTAGCACTGTATCTGTTGCAAGACTATTCTTCATTTACATCGTTATTTTAATATTTTATTCTATCTTGGTTTGCTATTCTGAAGTATCAGTGTACTGATTGAAGATACGTATGTACTAACTGGTGCAATATCTTACATACAAGGAAGCAGTGGGGATTATGACAGTAACAATAGGCTCTACTATCTTGGTAGGAAGGTGACAGCATTAACTGCAAGCAAAAGTAAATTTTGAAGTAAAAGTAAAGTATCGCAAGTTGCTTGCATGGGGATTTTGTTATATGTTTTGTGCATTTGGTAAGACAATACAAAGCCATTCTAAAAATAATAATAAATGAATTTGTTGACTGTTTTTATTTCTGAAAAAACATTTGTGAAAAATATTTTGTGTGTAAAACTGTAAAATCTTTTCTTGTTATTACTTCCACCCAGGTTATCTTTCTGAACCAAAATAGTAATTGTAATTATGACCAATCTTTAGTTAAAAATTGAAATGTTTTACGACTAGAATTTTAGGACTTTCTTCTTAAAGAAAAATTTTCGTAAAGTATACAACCCTGGTGGGGACAACATTCTCTTGTTTCAGAAAGGGCACCTGATATTTAGTGAGAGGTCATAAAAGTTTGCATTTGATAGCTTCAGCAGTTACAGAAAAAAATATTCCTTTTCTGGAGAAACTTAGTGCTTGGAGAAAACTACATTTAAAGGTCGAGTTGCCACGGAGCAGTCACGGGATAAGGTGCGTTTGGGGCCATTTTCAAACGCTTTCCACCGCGCATAATCACTCGCCTCTCCATGGAAGCACTTGTCAGTAACGCTGGAATATTGTTCCACGAAAATTTCAAAATCGCATTTTCAGTTGTATTTGCCCTCCTCCATACACTCTTAAAACTCAATTTTTCTTCGGAGACGTACCAGCTTGTTCAACTGGCTATATTACTGAACCTCTGCTGCGCTTCATTTGCTGTCATGAACCTCAGGTGGCAAGTACCGGAAACGGCCAGCCGCTGATGGCTCTCAACCAGAATCAGACGGGCTTCTACAGCGCTCTCGACAGCCTCGACCGCATCCCCTCGCGCACTAATGACACCGTGTTTGTCTTCTACGTCAAGGAGGGTCAGGTGACCCCACTCGAGATACTCGGCAATGTGGTGAGCTTTTTTCAGCGTACTACTGCTGCAGTGAAGAGTGTTAGCTTAATCATGTTGGGCTTTTGGCTCGACACCAACAGTGCAAGTGTGGTCATAGGAGCAGTTATAGCCTTAATAAAAGCAACTGGACTATATGCACAGCTGTAACATTTTTCTCAGCTGGAAAGGGTTGTATATACTGATCTCTCTTTCACCTTCGCCATCCATTACCCTTTCTCTTCCCCCTTTCCCCTCCACCAGTGTGGAGTAGCAGGTTATCACTCAGGCCGACTTCTCTGCCTTTTTGTAAATAAACCTGTCTTCCTCTCTCTATCTCTCCGTTAGCTTAAATGCTAATTGCACAAAAATGCAGGAACCGCCTTGTTTGGCATTTGCTGAACCTAATTTGACATGGTTTGCTTTGTGTAAAAGGAAAACTTTTTTCGTTAACCATTGATTTATTGCATTTTTGTCATAAGTTGTTGAAATTCTATACATTGAAATAAGAAGCCAGCATAATGTTTCAAACTTGTCGCTCAAGTGCGAAAGATTATGTCCGAGTGCTCTAATCTCCAAACATTGTGATGCCTTTACCGTGGACAAAATTAAGGTGATTGCATATATTCAAGCTCAAGCTATTAGTGTACTAAACGTAGCACTTGGAACTAATGGCACTAAACATGGCATCAGTTTCCAAGTTCTAATTATATTGTAAAAGCTTGATTAACATTGAGATTATGTGTGAGCTTCTGATGAAATGATGCAAATGTTTTGTAGACGCTCCAAGATGGAGAGAAATCTGTGGAACTTAAGATTTGTGTTTATTTTTGCTGTAACCTATCATTGCTTCGTAGTGGTTGTTAACTTCATAAAGCAACCAAGCTCGTCATGTAAAGTAGCTATTGTAACCTCATATTCACCCTCGAGGTGAATTTATGCCATAATCTCGATGCTTATTCGCCACGTCTTTCTTTTTATTTTATGGCTGTTCTTACTACACTCAAACTTCATTAAAACAGTCACACGTGCCACGAAACTGCCTTTTTATATCCAAAAATTCGTTATAAACATTCATTTGTAACCCTATACCTATGAAAGAGCCATTCTTTATTTACATCATTATAACTGATAATTCATTATACAGTCTAGTCCACATATAATGGCCCCACTTGAAACGAACATTCACTTAAAACAAACAATATCGGCGTGACCGTGAAAATATACATTGGTTCATTGGCACAAAATCGCACTTGCAACGAACGTCTCCGAGCACCGCTGATCGGTTACAGCGAACGAATTCAGCGGTCTGCCGATTTCCCGGGAAACGAATTTCGACCACCGATCAGGCATCGGCGAGGTGTCCATACATTTTTATTGTTAAACGCCGACCTTGCCTCTGCGCCCCTTTAATTGCCGGTCTCCCCGACCGCTTTTTCTTACGCACTCCTCCGTCTTTTGTCCCCCTGCTATTCTGAGAACCCCGCATCGCCAGACAAGGCCTATGTTTTCACACTGCCGCTGATCTTTCGAGGACCGGTCGGCCATCTGCCCAGTTTTTGATCGCTGGTACTGTCGTTGGTGTCGCCAGCCTGGAGTGACCAGATCATTTGCCAACCTCATCGGCTACCGACTGTATTCCATAGTCTGCGTCTAGTGCACGCGCATATCCTACCCCACCAACTCTGATAATTTGCGATTCGTTTCGTGTTTATTACTTGTTCTCGCTCACTTCGCACTCGGCTCAGCATGCCTTCTGCGTGCGTGCGAAAACTGCTGTTAATTTGCGCGGAACGAATCGTGAAGTATCGAAGTTCGTGAGGCCACGCAAACCTGCCGGCGCAGCGAAATGATTTTTTGACCACAGCCGCCGCTTCTTTCGAACACCGTCGCATGCACGGATTCAGGTGGCCATGCACCCTTTCCAAGTTTTTCTACAAGCGAGTTTCGCGGGCCTTTCAAGCAAGCTACCCAACCTGCCTCCTTCCAGTGTGTTTTGGTTTTCAAGGTCGCCCTCCTGCCCCATCCTCCCCTCTCTTTACCGCAACTCTTTGCCCTTCTCTGGCAATTCTTATCACCTCTCTTGATAGCAACCCCTTCGCCTGTCTCCACCTCTCCCCAACGCCCGCCACCCATGCTGGCTCGAATTAGTTTTGTTTTTCGACTGCAAACAGGCCCAAAGCTGTTCCACGCTCTCTGGCATGTGTGTCGCATGTGCGGGTCTTGCTCGCTCTTGGTGTGCGTGTGTAGTCATGATGGCCGACCGGCGGACTAGCATGCTTTTTTGTGCTGCTCAACAAAACGTCGAAAGTGTGACCGCCTGGCTTGAGTGTAATCAGCGCATTAGGTGCCGCGTTGCGGAGCGCTTGCTCATAGCTGTTGACCACCTGGCAGCCAACTTGCCGCTTCGGGAATCCCTGTATTCAGCTGTGGATATGAATATTTCGTGGGCGGCGGTGACCGCTACATGCGCGTGAAACTGTTATCGCATAGCCGACTTCGTCGACGGCGGGCCCAATGCCGAGCCTGAAGCTTTCGAACTGCGGCGGCAATTCGTGGCCACGCATCGACTCGGACCTGGGAGAGCGGGTGGGACATCAGTTACGATGGTTTAATTACGATGGTTTAATTACGGCCGATGATGATGCCGACACTGCGAAATCGTGCACGGATTGGGGCATTGTGAATGAAGTATGTAGCGAGAGCGATTTGGAGGAATCAGATTGGGAGAATGGCGAAATTTTGGAGCCAGTGCCTCATGCAGTTTATGCCACGGGCCTCGGCGAACGAGCACCCTGCCGTTTTAAATGAACTCGAGACTGCCCCTATCGCTTCCGTGCATCAGAACATGTGCATCATAGACTTTTGGGGCAAAAAAAGTTTGTGTTTTCACTCGCAACATTTTTTAAAAGCTGTGTTTCATTTACTACGAACTTCGAATACAGCGAACGGATGCCGCGTCACGCTCAGGTTCGTTATAAGCGGGCTCGACTGTATCTAGGTTCGTTATATCGAGGTCTGAGTGTAGGTCTAGTGCTCTTCACTGAATTATTCTCGAGATTTCGTTTTGAAGCTTGCAGTCATAGAATATGCAATTGCAGTTCATGTATTTTATTGTAAATAATCTTACGCATACACAGTTGAAAATTGCCATAGAATATTGTGACTGTCAACATTAAATAGATGCAATTAAATTTATATTGCAGCACATGTTATTTATTGGCAGCATAGATGCACAATAATTGTGCTATGGTACAGGCCCCACAGGTTATGCCGAAACTTCAAATGGGGCCAGAAATTGTGGCTAATTTATGTTTTTCACGCTAGCATAAATCTGGAACACCATAGAAGCAGTTTTCATGCAACACTAAACCTTGCTAATGTTGTCACTGCTTATTCTTCACATTTCTTTTTGCTTTTTTTTTTCTTAACAGACAAGCAGCCGCAACGTGCATCCTATGTTTCTTGAGTTCCTGCGATCCTTGGGCTGGCCCGTGGACGTGGGAATGCACACCGGCTGGACCGGGAATGTTGCCACATCCTGGCGAGTCACCAGCGGTGACTTCAACATTGGTGAGGCGCCGTTTTCACACATGCATTCATTTGCCAGAGCCTGAATCTCAATCTCACCTCGACACCAGTGCGTCGTTGTGACACTGCGTGCTAGCCAAACCAACCCAACATGCTGTCTACTCAATCATGTCTAGTCCAAGTTGATCTTTTTGCTTCTTTTGATCTGTAATCTCTTGAAAGCTAACGGGCAACATTTTCAAGCAAAGTGAAGTGCAATATACCTTTTTTAGGTGCAAATAGCTCATGTCAAGATTGCACACCAAACAAAATGTGTTTATTTCAAAGGGTATGAACTTGAACTTATTGGCATATTTTCATAACAGCAAACTGCACGAGCAAACGGGACAAGAAAGACAGGCGTATGTTATATATACACTGCACGTTACACCATCAAGTCCTGTCTGTCTGGCCTGTCCCGTTTGGTTGTGCTGTGTCCTGTGAAATTTGGTGATGCAATTGATACTTGTATGTTTGGGATACATCTTGAAGAAACGTGTTACTCGTTCATGCCTATATGTGTTTTGCCAATGTACCAGCATATTTACAGTACAGTCAAATCTCATTAATTTGGACATGCTTAATTCAAAGTTCCGGTTATTCAAACTGATGCTGTGGTCTCATCAAAGCTAAGGTGTATCCCAAAGGGTGAAAATGCCCTGTAATTCGAACGCGCAAGCACTTGCGACTGGTAATTCGAACATACCATGCTTCGAAAATTCTCTCAGCACCACGCAGCGGTGGCACCTTTGACCCCTTTTAACTCCGTGCAAAGAAGGAAAAGAAGAAAAGGAAAAAAAAGGCTGCTGCGGAGTGTTGGTTCTCTCTCAAATGCCAATCTGCGACACCCCAGTGTCACCGCTACCCCTTTTCTCATCCCTATTATGTAGAGACCCTTCTCCTTTCAAAGCTATGCGCAAAGAGAGCAAAAAAAAAAAGAGCAGCAAAGTGTTGGTTCTCTCTCTGTCTCTCTCTCTGTGTGGAGACGCTCCTCCTTTCTCGTCACGTGCTGGCTACACTGCAGTGGCGGCGCAGAGGGTAGCAGGGAAGAAGCAGTAGTTGTCGTCTTTAGAAAGTGTCGGCCCTATACATTGCCGCGCGCAACTTCTCTTGCCAAAAGAATGCTGAAGTTGAACGCAGCTTTGCAAGCTGCGTGCGAAACTGATTGACTTGCTGCAAGGCAAACGTGTGCAGATGCGCATCACCAATTACTATTACTTCAAGTATTGATGGATGTCCTGTGATTTGTGAATATATGTAAGTCTTCTGAGACTTCCCCCTCGTGTGTTAGCTCAATGTACATGTGTTACTGCATGGTGAGTCTTCTGTTCATTTAGCTTTCATTAATTTGAACTTCTTTTAATTCGTACACATTTTCGGGCCCCTTCAAGTTCGAATAGCCAAGATTTGACTGTATATAGGGGATGAGTGCTCATAGATTTGGTATGTTATATTTAACTTGTTTAGGGCTTTTTAGGAGATTGCTCAGTAAACTTCTTAAGCTCGCACCTTGTCTGGTGGCGGCGGTCAGCAACTGGTGTGCACAGCAGTTTTTCCAGCGTACACTTCGGTCGCCACCCGCGTCGTTCTCTCTGGTGATTTCAACGATGCTTACTAGATGGCGCACCGGCATCCAAGGCATGTGTTTTCAATGGCCCGCACGCTTGCGTCGTCCCTGACTTCTTCCACTTCGTTCCTCGTCGCTTTGTTGGCAGAGCAGCACGTGACAAATTTCTACGAAGAGGGTTACGCATAGGTACAGATATCCCCCGAGCCCCTCTCACTTGCCTGCTCGCAACCCCGCTGAAGAACGCCTGATAGCTCCACGTCTGGTATTTATCAGCATTAGGCATTCGACTGACGGCAGTGGCCAGTATGGCATAAAGGGGCAAGTGGTTAACGTGTCAATCAATGTGGCCAACACTGCAGTGCCGGCCGCGGAATGTGCCCAACCACCCTGCCCATGACATACACATAGTGCACCGACTCGTTAACAAGCCTTCCTAAAGAAATGGCCTCTCCAAGAAACGCCCTGTGCACCTCAAGCAAGCTCCTCTAATATGATTTACTTCCTGGATATGTCTATGATTTTTTTAATGAGGTATTGTATAGTGTATATGGACTCGTTAGATTTAGGTGCAAAATTGCAAGTGCCAGTGTAGTCACAATTAATCTGGAGTCTCCCACAATGGCATGCATCACGATCATATCTCAACTTCAGCGTTTAAAACTACAGATATTTATTTTCTTAATTTTTTTTGCAGCTGATTTGCCTGCAGACCACGGCGGCAGTCTGTACAGTGGCCACCACCAAGTCCTCTACTGGTCAGATGTGCTGTCCGAACTAGTGTTCGTCGTGCCTTCACCGAAAAACCTTCCTCGTGACGTTGCATCCGGTGAAGTCACCCTAAGGCCAAAAGGTTTGTCTAAATACATTTAAAGAAAGTGAAAGATCTGCATTGGCACTGTATTCTTGCAGGTGGAAGTGCAGAATGTATTCGAAAGAAACTTTCCGCTGCAGTGTGCCTCGTAATACCTGTGTTCATTTCAGATACTTGTATTGCTGTGCGGGTTTGATGTATTTTGGTGTATCCAGCGTTTGACATTATTTTGATGTGTTCGGGTTTCACTGGCAGAGATTGTTAAAAACACTCAGTGCAGATTGCACTGAACCGTTTAAGAAAATTCCTGACTGTTTGTGGTCATTCTCTTAAGATTAGGGTCAAGGCACGAATATTCAAGTTTATTTGAGAGCTTGTGCGAACACCAGAGGCAGCACCGAAAGTTTCGATGACTGATGTACACGAGGCGATGTGTTTCCCCGATGACCAGTTGTCTCAAAAACCAATGACAATGCTTGCCGCTATTGGTGTGTAGCGTGCCTTGCTTGTAGGTTACTTTTTCATTTCACGGTCGCAAGAGTGTCCTGTTTTTGTCTTGAACACACCAATTGCCACCTTCTTCACCATCACAAATACCGGACAATATCAACCATGGGTGTATTTTCCTATGCTCCCCGTAGATGGCTAAATAGACAGCTAAGCCCCCAGCAACCCTCATTTCTTAGTTATCTTCCCTTTCTTATGTCACTGTGAGGTACATGAAAACTTTTTCCTGTAATCTATAAACGAAGTGACTACAGAAGTCCCAAGAGAACTGCTTGCTTGTATTTTCATTTATTCAGCGGACAGCTTTCCCGAGCGGTCCACAACAACCATGATGGGACCGCCAGCGTATGACGGCATGGCAGCCAGTGCGGAGGTCCCACAAGAGAAGGTTCAGCGTGCCATGTCACTCAACATTGACAGCACGGAGACAGTGACTCGACCTGCCCGGTCGCGACCAGCGCGCATGCCCAACGTGGCACTTGCTGAACTAAAAGTGCTGGTTGTGTGGCTCGAGAGCTTCGAAGACCATGTCTGCTTCCCCCTGAGTAAGTTGGTGGTGCCATTGAGCAACCTTTGGCTTCTGGTAATACTATCGAAATGGATCACGCTGTTGACACTATTGGTGGTGTCGTCGAGATTTGTAGCGACACCGTGCAAAGCTGGTGACACCATCGGATCTACTGGTGATGTCATTGGAACCTCTGGTGACACCATATAAAATCTGGTGACACCATCACATCTGCTGGTGTCACAAGCCCTTGTGACACCATATTAATCTGGCAGCACTATCGAAACTCCTGGTGATATAGTCAAGACTCTTGGTGCTACCATTGAAATATGGTGACTCCATCGAGACTCCTTTTTGGTAACACCATTAGGATGAGCACAGACAAGATCTATACAACTCAAGTTCTGTGAGCTCACTTGACACCTGTGAAGCTAGTTGTCGTACTGTAATGTCTTTATAAGACAGCAAGTACAACTTATTGGTGTCCAAAATAATCAATAATCTACTGTATATTCAATTGATACACATGTAACTTTTTACACCTCCCCTCCTCAGTTGCACCTTGCAGCCCCTCTGTTAAATGGAACTTCTTTTTGCTATGCGAAAAAATTGAACAACCATAATTCAAGATGACATTGGGCCACAAGTTTGCTCTCTTTCATCACTTCTAGTGCAACCAGATGTCTGATGACTCTTTGGCTCGTTATTTTCACTGCAGGTGAACTGCTGCCGGCCACGAATACGGGCCAGGAGACTCCATCTGGGCGTGGAGACGTGTTTGTGATATTCGTGCACGCCCTGCAGAGCGGCCTGTTCCGCATAAAAGTGCAAAGCCGAGGAACCAAGTAGGTACCCACCCAGACCTGTGTGATATGCGCATTACATTTTCGGAGCATTAGCGGGATTCCAGCATAAGGCAGCAATAGTGTACAGTCGCCGATTGATATTTCAGACTATGGGGACCGAAAAAGTCCGAAAAATTTAACAGTTAGAAAAATTCGTTTTGTCAGAAATATGAACTTTATTGCATCAGGCAGGCTTAAAAAAGTCTATGATTCTGCCTTGCCTCGTACTACGCTTGGAAGCAATTTTCTTCGCCCATATTTGCACCAAGGTGACATCGTCATTGTAAATGCTCGACAAAAGCGTCACCACGGTGGCAATCTCCGCTGCAAACAGCTTCGGGCGATCATGGTCGTCATTATTCGAACCGCTCTCCGGCTGCGGCTCAACCTGGTGAAGAATTTTTTCGTCTGTGGGCTCCAAGCACGAAATTGTCATCGTCCGCACGGGCGAAGTCTTTGGGAGCTTTAGAATAACGTTTGCAGGCGCTGCGGACGTTGCAGGGTATAGCGGACGCATTATGAGTTCTAGAATAGCGTTGGCTCATCCTCGGGAGAGGTCTAGGGACATTCACCCCCAACTGCAAACTCAAATGCACGGAAGCTACACATGACACTTCACAGACCTCGGGGGCCGCGATCGCCGCACGCTACTTCGGATTTTCTACGGGCAGGCCGCGAACGGCTACTCGCGTTACGACACATGCGCACTGGCAGCGATCGCACTGCAAGGGCTTGCGGTGCACTATTCTAAACTCCCTAATGTCATTGTGGCAGGGCACATTCACTCCATTACTGCGCAGCTCCGCCTCCTCCCTGTACGGTGCGATGACGACAGTGATGACCACTACAGCTGACCAAAGACGAAAAATGGTTCCCGTGCCACGTTTTCTAAAGCAGACATGGCCTCTGAAACTTGTAATATGACGTTTGCTTTCCAATCTTGGAGGCAGGAAAGCCATTTTAAAATTAAGCCACTAAGCTTAGTCAAGCCAGTAGAAAATCCAACATGGCAGCGTCCATACAGGTTCGTGGTGCGGCTCAAAACAAGCGATTTAGTCTGAAAAATCCAACTGTAGGGGGCGAATTTGTCCGAAAAATTGCTCGAAAAAATTCATTAGCTCTATGGAACCCTGACGGTGTGCTTGTGAAGTCCGAAATATGCAACAAGTCCGAAATATGCAACAAGTCCGAATTTTTGGAGTCCGAAAAATCGGTCAGCGACTGTACAGTGAAATTTTATTTACTGTCAAAACCACCAAAATGAAAAGTGCAGCACATATTGGTTGGTAGTACGACGTCGGCTGCACTGCATGAGCATGCCGGAGTTGTCTCACATAAATAGCGAACTTACATTACGAACCTAAGAAAGTATCCCTAATAATTGAGTTACTTTTTAAAACGCATCTCTTGTATGCAATATTGTTAATGTGGGAAACACTGAAAAACCAACCAAAGCTATTTGCAGCTGCTTCTCATAACAGATTGTCTCTTGTAACGAGGTATTACTGCACATAATTAAAAGTGATAGCCAACTAATAATGTACAAAGTAATTTTAAGTACCCTTGAAGGGGTAACCACAGAAGTCTATGAAGTAGTACTTCAAGTCCGTAGTGTCTGAAAGTGTGGAAGATATGTGACACGAACAAAGAACACAGGACAAGCACTCGCTTAGTGTTCTTCGTTTTTTTTACGTGTCTTTTATGCTCTCTGAAGCTAGCCCGATTGCCAGTGCTTGAGTCATATTCTAAAGAGGCAAAAGTTGTCTATATAATGCATGTAACAGTATTTTAAGTTTCAATTCCTACTGTCAGCTCTACATTAGGCTGGATTCGAAGAAACTGAAGGTGCTAGTAAACTAGTTTGATGTGGGATTCACTCCTTTTTTTTTTTTCCAGAACCATGCAGGCGTTGCCACTCTGTTGACGGCATGGTTGTCAGCCGCCGCGTCCTGGGCATTCTTATCCGCCAGACAGCTCTCAACATATGCCGGAGACGGCGGCTAGAGGCAGAGATGTGAGAGACTTTACGTTGTTGCCTGTCCGTTAATTAGTTTAATCTACTGTGTCTATCATTCCCTGCAAACGTAGACACGCTATATAGAATGAAAAAACAAGAAGGCGTGTACACAGTTCAATAAGGCTGCTGCACCGTTTAACTTAGTGTTTGACAAAAGGTGCATTTGACAAATGCTATTTCAGAAGTGCTGCAAAACGCTGCTACATTTGCTCCGAATGGTATTTCTTACTGCTCGAAACTTGATAGGAAAGGTGTTTCTGGCTGCTACAAAAAGCTCTTTTGCCGGCTCCCAGCACTGGTCCCGTACTGATGTACCCTGTTTTACCCCTGCCCCAAAGAATGCGTGCTAAGCTATTGCTTAAAAAGCCATGCGCTTGCTCTTCTATGATGCGAAGAACCAAATTCTTGGATATCCGTCGAAGGGGTTCATGTTTACTGCGTGAGGTGCCACACTGAGATTGGGGGGAAATTTACAGCTGTGAAATGCCCTCGTTCACTTTGTAATGCTGGTTACGCTTTGCTTGTATGAACATTCACACTGCTCGCTGTGCCTGCAAACTGATTGCCACGCACGTTTTGCAACAGGTGTCCACCACCACACTGTGAGGCGCCGAATGAAGATCCAAGAGATCGGAACCAAGTTCCAGCAACCACAGGGACAGCCAGAACTCTACGAGCAACTCTTCAAGAGTACACACTGAGCTGGTGCTTGCCAGCAAGGGCACTTGAGCGCAGCAACATCGTGCGTTTATTTCAGACATCCCTGTTGCCGCAACTTACGGTATTTGGGGGAACCGCGCCGCGTAGCAGTGCTCACCATGCCGCAAACGTTGGAACATGACAATGGGCGGTCGTGCCGCCGTCATTTCTGAGATGGCGTAGGCACGACTGTGATACGAGGACGTACTCCAGCGCGGCTTTACGAGAGGGCGTTTTGAAATCCTTTCTGCGGAAGTGCAGCAAACCTGTTGCTGGCCATTGCATGGTGTATGTATACAGTCAATCGCCCTCCTAGCATGTTTAGTGACGGTTACCATCTTGCAAAGCAGCATAAGTTACACGGTTGCCGCCGCAGTAATTGCGACGTGCAATGTTTCGCTGTGTATTAGCATATTACGATATTCGTGTTCTCCTTTTGTGCGCAGTGCACTGTAGAATTGTCGAGTGACGGTTATTGTACAAAACACTGAAATGCATTCCAGCCGAGTATGTAACATTTCGAATGTATGAGAATCAAACAAGATGCTTTTCATGTAAAAATGCAATGGAATGCATGAATTTTTGAAATGTTTTTTTTATGAGGTTCGTAAACACTTACTCCTGCAAAGCATTGGTGTATTGATTATCACAGATGTAAGCATACACAGGGCAATGTTTTCGCTATCATCAAGGATAATCATCAGTCTTATTTTGCAATTGCAGTCTTTGTGTTGTTTAATCCTTTCACGATAGCGTCATGATGAAACACAAAGACGTCACTGATGTGTCACTTCTCTGCTTCGTAGTTAATGTGTACTGATATACGGGGACTGGGAATGTATGTTAATACTTTAAATAAAGATTATGCATCATTTGTCAAACGCTAGAGAAGCACGCTCGGGAAATTGGAATTAACATTTTCGCTCCGGTGGCTACTTGGTTAGTGTCCACTTCCAATGCGGGAGGTCCTGGGTTCCATTGCCAGTGCCGACCATGAACCCACCGGTTCTTCCCAATAGGTAGAGGATTACGCCGACCTGGCGCTCAGTTGTGTCTGTGTACTCATCTCGAAAGGTAGGCCCATAAGGTTCTACGAACGCCCTTGGGCGTATCTTAACCCACGACAGCCTTGGTGGAACAGCTGAGCATCCGTAGCTGCTGTAGGATGCAGCGAACTGCTGCCGCTAGGCACCTACTGGTTAAATAGGTGCAAGCACACTTCCGTCTTGGTGCTCGGCAGAACATAGTTCATAGTTGCTTGGAAGGGCACCCGCACTGTGGGAAATTGGGGGCATGGAACCCTCACACGTAAAATTAAGGTCATCCTTCTTTTAAGCAAGATGTTCGTTTAACTGTACGTCTTGCATAATCCTGAATAGCAGTATGTTGTACAGGCAGTGGTCATAAATGAAATAGCTGCTAAAGATTTTTAACCTGAGGCACGATATATAACCTCTACACATGTTAGTGAGTCGGTGTGTCCATGTCTTGGTCTGTACGAACTTTGGAACGGTTGAACTAAAGAAAAAATAATGTTAGCCCAAATAGTTGTACTGCTGTCAAATTCACTTATGGTGATGCTTGAGCTAATGATATATTGCACATGACAATGAGCACTCACCACACAATAAACCTTCATATGTTTTCTATGATGCAAAAAAAAAAACTCTTACTGTTAAATTCCTATGTCACGTTATTGGGCTAATCACCAAATTTAGTTTCCTGGCTCTCTGCTCCAAAGGAAAAGCAATTCTCAAATTGCTTGAAAACAATACGAAAAAAAAAAAGAAATGATGCGGGCCTTTGCACACATCGAAGTACCATGTGCTGCATTTTAGGAATACCGTTGGTGCTTCACCTTTCCATCCCTTCGAACATGAGTTGACTGTTTCTTCGACATTTCATGTGAGATTATTCTGGCCCTCAGATCTGTGGACTAGGAGTAGAAGAGAAAGATTGCAAGGTTGAGTTGGAAAAGAATTTGACAATGTGTTACCGTGATTGCAGGGGCATTTTATTCGTGAAGAAAATAATAAAATAATGAAGCAGCAGGTTCTGTTGCCAACCACCCTTTTCTATTCTTTCCATGCAGTCATTTATAAGGATGTAGTTTTCGTTAAACTTGACTATTGCTTGGAAATGGTTTTACTATATCTTAAATCTGGTGAACGATGTTGAACAAAGGTGAATGAATCGGGGTGTCGTGTTAATTTTTGTGAGCACCAGCACCCTAGATCATCTTGCTTAACAGCGCAGCAGGACATACTTTTTAAAGGCAATAGTTTTTCTTGGGATGCTTCAACGAAAAAATTTCGGTATATGCCTTTTTTGTTTACAAAATGAATGGGCAATACCTAATTCTAAAAACTGAAGAGTTAATTATGCTGTGCTAACAATTCGACACTATGAACGAAAAAGCGGGCGTCTCCTGTGTTTCGCTGAAAATTCAAGGGCTTTAACTGAAACGCCCCGGTGCTGTCACCTACCAGCGGCTCTGTGTTCTGAGAATTTTTTTTTTCTTCAAATTACTGCCAGATGGTGTCGTATCTCACGCAGTGCCTCCAGACAGAAGACTACATATAGTCTTTTGACGCCCTCTCAGCAAAGCACCGAGATACGTGGCCACTCTTATAGGTTTAAGCTGTGCCATGTTTCAGAACGAATGGTATGAAAAAAATGTAAACTTTTTATGTAAGCTCACATAGTCTACTTATTGCCCAAACCAAATATTTTTGAGTAGCTCCATGCATAGCACTTAATTTATCGTTTAACTGCAAAAATAATTACTTGCCAACAGGCCAAAGGAGCCTGGCTTTTTAATTGTGTTGCAGCCTTCGCCTTAGATTAAAAATGGTTCAAGTGGTGCATGTTTTTGTGGTGGTCATTAATAGGGAAGAGCCAACCAGAAGCAAGTTGTTTCCTGTACACCTTAGTTCATTTCTCCCCTTTGTCGGTTAATACACTTCCATTAAATTCTGCAAATAATGCCTCCATGCCTCGCTTTTTTAAGGACAAAGCTCCTTATGGCGTGGGTCTGTCCTTCTTTCGTATGTGTGCATGTATGTAGCCACCGGTGGCACATACCCGCTCTAGAACGCTATGTGCCACAGGGGTTTGCGAGATGGGAGATGGCGGAACTTAGTGTTCACTACATGAACGCACGGACAGAGAGAGGGAAGAACCAACAAGAAGCAAGTTGTTTCCTGTACACCTTAGTTCATTTTCCCCTTTGTCGGTCAATACACCTCCATTAAATTCTGCAAATAATGCCTCCATGCTTCGCTTTTTTAAGGGCAAAGCTCCTTATGGTGTGGGTCTGTTCCTCTTTCGTATGTTTGTATGTACGTAGCCACCGGTGGCACATACCCACTCTAGAACAGGCGAACGTATGGACAGACAGATGGACGCTTCGCTCCTCTCATCATTCACTCCATGGATATGCTGCAATTTTTTTCAATAGGCTGTCTGACAAAGAAATTTCCGAAGCTTGTTCTAAGCCATTCAAAACTTAAAACATCGAAATCTGACGATTCTGAAGACCAATGTGGTTTCATCTAGGTTTTCTAGGTGATGCAGGTTGTTCCTAGTTTGATTTTAGGTCGTTGCTAGGCTTGGACTAGGAGGTGTTAGGTCATTCCTACGTTCATTTTCAACACAGAAAGGTTTCGAGTAGAACTGAAGGCAGTCGCAGACGTGACACTGACGTCAATACTCTAAAGACAGAACCTCGTACTCGAAACGAAGCATTTGCACCTCTCGTAGATAGACACACAGCTGTTGGCGTAGACTTTCCAACGCTTCGATGCCTTCTAGCTGCTGCTGTGGCCTTCCCCGTCCCTTACTATACACTTGTATGTACTCTACGTCTTCGGCTCGTTGCCGTTACTTCGCAACCATTCCCTGGATTGACTATGTTCTACTTAATTTTTGGTAGACCAGTGAGTAGTAGGGGGATTCATAGTCTGTGGCACGCAAACCTCGATATAACGAACCTGGATATAATGAAATATTGGTTATAACAAAGTAACTAAAAACAGTCTTGCAATAGACAAAGTGTTCGGAATAAACCTTTAAAACGAATTTTTGCACATAACGAACTTATTTTCATGTAATATGCAACTTTGTTATAATGAGGTTCGTGTGTACATGTTCATTAATTGAGCTAACCGTTCCTTTCTTCGAACTTAGTGAACCTGTTGAGAGTGTGGGGTTCGGTCAATTTCGGTGGCACATACCCGCTTATGATGATAGTTTCTTTCGCTCAGCAGGCAAGCAACGATTTGCTGTTGCCAAGTAACCAGTCTCCCGATACGTTTCCCGCGTTTTGTTTAATATCTATGACAGGCACTACTGCAAAAGTTCTGCAAAGCCATTCGTACTAAAGAAAATGCACAGGCTTCAAGAAAATAAATCAATGACTCATTTCTTTATTTGGCTTTTGTCATGACAACTGTCGCATATCACAATTGCTTTGTACATCTCGCATGACTAAATGCATGACAGCAGCAAAGTTGACAACTTAGTTGGTATGGCTCTATAAAAGCAGCGCAAACTACGAAATTCATGACTATACTTATGACTACTGGGGTACCATAACGTAAAGAATTGAAGTCCAGCACAAACTGTGATCTCATATTTAGTATAAGTGCATGCATGCTGTGCACACAAATATTGGAGACATTTCAGACTTCGCTACATTCCAATTCATTACCTCAGCGTTCAACCGTAAATTGGTAGCACGGGCGTATTTGGCATCTCAACAACACATGGTCTTGTGGCAAATTGAAAAATGTGCAGTCTAGCATTCAGTCAGCATCATGCACCACAAAGAAAAACCGCGTAAACAAAATATAAGTGACACTTTTTAGTATGGTAGGTTGGCTGTTTGTAGGAAAATGCGATGAGATGGAACTCGCGACAGAAATGTAGCGATGATGCGTTGTAACTTTGGCTCATAACGATAAAAATGATTTATGACTGATGCCTTGCAAGTTACAAATGGTAACAAGTCGCACACTGTACGAATATTTACTGTCAAAAGAGCAAAATGTTGCCAGTTGTGCTGCGAAGATGCGATCGGCTATTTTTCAATGACAGCAAGCGATGGCGATTCCACGTGTAGCTGCTTGTGCTGCAGTGATCCGACGTAAATGTTGAGGTCAGCCGAAGGTAATATTAAAAGCTAATTACAATATAAACATAAATGTTTGAGACACACTTCTTTCAAAGTATTCTTTCTGTTTTTCTTTCATATGCAGGAGTAAGTACTGAATACAGATGCGTTGTAGAGGGCATCGCAAACACTCATTAACAACTAAAAACATTGACATATAAAAAAACTAGCATCTACAGTGCAATTCAATTAGCTAAGCTCGGCATATTTCATTTCTGCACGTTTTCCTGGCTCCACACAAATTTTAAATATCAGACGTGGTTACCGTGAGTTTGACAAGTTTTGTCCACAGATCCAGTTTCACTGCAATGTGGGGAGCATTGTTTTAAAGCTAGTGATAGGTTGTGAAACATTTCTGTGCTTTTACACAAATGTATCATGGGAAAGGATGAGCCAGCTAATATAGCATGCCAACTTTTCTTCATTGTGCATTAAAACAATTTTGCGGATTTGCTGTTATTTAAAGTTTGAGTTAATGCAGAAGCGTTGAAATATGTGAACAGTACCTTAGACTGGCTGACAATAAGTAACGAGAGGTACTAGCATTCTCACTAGTAGAAAATTGCATTTGGTTTGCAATGAACCACGAGAGTTATATGTACGTTTTTAATGCAATTTTTTTAAGAGATTTAAATATCAAAGCCAGTTTGCATTTAGAAGCTACGTATAACACACAAAGCAGAGCATTTGAAGAGAATTCGCACATGCACTCATGAGAAGTGTTCCCCGTATTCTAGAATGTCCCTTCACTCAACACTTCACCTAGACCGGAGAAAGTCTATAGGGGTGTCATCTCTAGGCAGAGCAAGTCATTTTTGGTCAAGCAGCAGTGCAGTGCTCAGTTCTGTCAAGTGAAGGACGAAATTTGAGAAGAGGAGCATTTGTGAATAGGGTGTAAATCTCACTATATAATTATTCATTCTAGGACATAGCACAAACAAGTAAAAACATATTGCACTTGTTCTAAGGCACGTGTATAAATAGCTCAAATGACACATTTGTGTATTCGTGGATTATGGCGCTCTGTGTAAACAAGCTCTTAAATGGTGGCCTGTAAGTTTCCCATAAATGCTGCCTCACATGAAAGATTCCATAAGCAAGCAAGTCTGGCCATCTCGTAAATCAGTCGATTTAACAAAATGCATGCGCACGGTGTGCTTGTCAATGCTTAAAAGCCGGCGTACATTCTGTTTAACCTGAACTGTACTGACGTTAGATCAAGTACACGACCGTTCATGAATTCCATCTTTGTGCCGATTGGATCAGACATGGGTGACCACGCAAGTAGCTCAAAGGAATGCATGGAGCAATTCTGCGAATGCCCACAATAATACACTGTGTAAAATCGATGCATCAGTCAAAACAGACAGTTGGTCAGGATCAAATTTTGCAAACACAAGTGGTTCATCTGCAGAGGCCGCAGATAACTGCGATAGATAATTTCTATCCTGATTGAAGTCGATGGCAATCTAAACCGCTCTTGAGTGTCCGGGGATATTACACTGGGAGTTCAAATGGCTCTGCTTCGACGTCCAATTTGTTGCCGCCATTGCGTGTCGGTTTCCTCCGAAACGTCGTCCACATAGTGCACAGCAGAAATGGAAACATGCTGTTCACCATGCGGAACTTCGTGTCCGTCTTTGTACAAGCCAGCAGTACTGCGAATCCCTGCACATAGAGGAAATCGCAAAGACGACAAGCACCGTGCTCGAAACATTGCTTCGCACGAACTTAGTGGCTGGAGCTCTGCTGGTAACCTGAACGCGCAAGAGAGTTCCGCCGTTCCTCAGTTGGAATAACTGAGTCAGGCAGAGGAATCCGCAGCCGAGATAGAGGAAGAGTACGACCCAGGCTGCCCGTTGCCGAAACTGCATTGCTGGTAAGATTTGGCCGGACCCATGAGTCTTGGCTGCAAAAGATTTGCGTGATGTCCTATTTAAAGGGACACTAAAGAGCGAAATGCTTTTATACATATTAGTAAAGTGCAATATCACAATCCCGAAAACGCCACTCTTACCATGGCACGACACTTGGTAAGCGAGAAAAGGTGTGAAAAGACACTGCAGGTGGAGACACCACCTCGAGATTTCCCCACCAGACACAGTGACTTAAATTTTTGAAGGCGTCTAGTAGGCCCTTTGTACCTTATCAATAAAAATGAAGCACATTGTCATCGGTGGATGCCATAAACTTAGCATACGACTTTTCAGAAAATTTCATCGAGCCAACATAGCGAAAATATGAAAAATGTGAAATTTCCTGATTCATGCATGGTTATTATGGCGGGAAATGCAAAAAAAAAACTGCAGACTTGATTTTCTCTGCTAATAATAAACTTATGACAGCGACACTTACGACATTAGAGTTCTCAAAAAGCAGTTTCAGTTTAAAACAGCTCATTATTTCTGTTTTAGTGTCCCCTTAAGGTAGTACTCGTTATATAGATGTGCTTGCTAGTACTTGAATTCATGGTTGCTACACCTCAATCTCGGAGAATGTATGCGAGAGTGCACAAACATGAGTGTTGATTGGATGTGGGTGTAGGTGAGGGTGAGTGCTGGTGAGTTTAAATGAGCATGATTAAGGACATGAGTGAATGCACCTGCGTTGCTGCTAGTAAAGGCGAGTAGGAGGGTGTTGCTGGTGGGGCGGTGGGTCTGGGTATCATACAGGACCATGAATGCATGCTACTGAGAGCAATAGGGCTAGTGTATGTTTATGCAGGCACAAACTTCCTATCCAATTACTGAATCACCCTAATTAGATGTTTCACAGGAGCACTTGCTGTCAAAGCCGTGGGGTAAACATGTGCGCGTTGAAAATTTTGACTAAGCTTACGGTTGATGCCAAAGTTGGTCACGAAGCTGTCGCACTTGGTATTAACAACATAATAGCGACATTGTGATGCAGCACCAAATACATTGACTTCATGTAATGACGGGGTTAGACAGTTTCCTATAAATACACTAGAGGGAACTCTGGCGCTAGTGTCTAAGGGAGCTGCAACGCATGGCGCTTCAGCGAGCATGGAATTATGAGTAGTACATGAATGTGCCTAATCCTTGTACTTAACATTCAGTTTGGATTCGCATGGCTTCACGCCGTTTCGTCACAAAACAAGTCGGCAATATGCTTCAACACCTTCATCTAATAGGCTCAGCAATTCGAATCTGGTCACGACGTTCAAAACAGCTCGTTCTTTCATTCAAAAGAAAGCCGAAACACTGCAATAAACGAAGCCACAACTGCGTTCGAAGCGCGCAAGCACGACGACTAGGCAAATGCACACGCTACCCATCATTCCCGTGGTCGCAGAACAATCGCAGCGCCAGTCTCTCCTCTAGTAAATAGAAAACTCCATGGGTTAGAGCTATGATGACGTAAAAAGTTCAGTTCTGGGCGGCTTTATCAAGACTGCTATTCGTGTGCGTGGGAGAAGGGGGGGCAGCTTTCTCTGTAAATCATAGCAGCGGAAGGAACGTGATTGCTTAGACACCGTGATTTCATGCGTAAAGACATCACTTCAACATGCATCTCAATATCTATTGTCTATTAGATGACATATAATATTTATGGCACCTATTAGTCTTCAATGCAAACTACGGATTCTCGCCACTTATCATGGCTAATACTAAAGAAGCACCTTCGTAACTTGGTTTGCTTCGTGATCACAAACAGGCCCAACGGTCTGGAGATGGCATCGATAATGATTAGCGAAACAGTTTTCGTAATGTACAATTTGATTTAAATCATTAGAGTCCGTGAGAACTGGCCGCTGTGTTCTGAACCAGTAACTGCCTTACCTTGCACGAAATGGACGCTATATCGCAGCAAACTTACTGCGAGTTGAAAGAAACCACACAACCAGAACGCCATGCGACGAGCACCACCAAAGGAGGCTATGGCACCACGATCGGCGTTTAACTAGGGACACTGGAAAAGTACGTCACAAAAGTGCTTTTTACAGACGATCGATGGGTCCGAGCGATTGCTTCGGACAAGCGGTAAGTACGAGTTCGTGTGTACACGCATGGATGAGTGACCGACTAGTTCGCCAATCCTTCGTATCTTCAGCGCGATTGTCGGCGAATGCTCAAAAGCGCAAAGCGACGACTGAGAACACGGTACACGAAGCGCAAGAGATCCTAAAGCACCTTTCAGTTTGCGTAGACAACGCAAAAGTAAGAGATAGTAAAAAGAAAACTGGAGCAATGAGTGCGTTCCACCTTACCCAAGGGAGAGCCGATAAACTTGTGGAGAACAGCGGGGCTTATCGCCCGATTTTAACTCTAGTCGCCGCCTCGTTATCACCTCTCTCGCGCAGTTGACTAGTCACGACACTAAAGGTGCTAAAGGCGAGTGTCACCAGCGGGGGGGGCGTTCATAAAGGGCCTAGATTAATTCGTATTTCTTCTTAGAAAAACAAAAAACAAGACTATAGATCTACCGCCAAAATAAACACTCCGCTGTTTCGACGTTTCGAGGTGAAAAAGCGGCGCTGCTGTCGCGTACCGCGTCTAGGCTTCTGGGCTGCACTGCAGCAACGTTACTTATCTAGTAACGTTGGCACTACAGCAAGGCTGAGGCTAAATATTACTACTTTCCCCAAGGAACAAGCGAAGCATGCATAAAAAAATAAATATGATTTGATTGATTTTTCGGGTTTAACGTCCCAAAACCACTATATGATTATGAGAGACGCCGTAGTGGAGGACTCCGGAAATTTTGACCACTTGGGGTTCTTTAACGTGCACCCAAATCTGAGTACACGGGCCTACAACATTTCCGCCTCCATCGGAAATGCAGCCGCCGCAGCCGGGAATTGAACCCGCGACCTGCGGGTCAGCAGCTGTAAAAAAAAAATAAATATAACGAGCAGCATGTCAAGCTTGATGTTAGAGAGTACGGTTAGTGTGTTTGGTGGCAATGATGCAAAGCTGTAAGCGCCGCCTTTAGAGGGCGGTAAATTTGAAATATTAATTTAAGAGGACGCTACCCACCGACAATGCGCTGAAGCTATGAGAACTTGGCTGCCCGTCTGGGACCAAGCGTATTGTGCCAATATATTAAAAAAATATTAATCAATAGTAACGGTGTATTGGTTGGTCAGAAATCAGGCGCGTAGCCCAAAATATTTTCTGAGAGGGGGGGGGGGGGGGAGCACGCGTTTGGTGTGCCACTCCCTCGCTTTGCCCCTGTCAGAAATCGATGAATGGACGGGTGGATGGTGGATGGATGGATGGATGGATAGATGGATGAATGAATGGACATTTAGATGGATGCTATGAGCGTCGCCTTTTAACGGGGTGGACATGTGTGCCACCAGGCTGGCAAGAAAAAAATATAAAAAAAGCTTTCTTTTTATGTTGACCTAAAGCCTTATCTACTTCGATTAAATCGATCCTATTATTACACAAAAGCAATATAAATTTCTTTCATCTCTGTGCCTCTTCAGACAGAATGACCTCATTTTCCCACTATTTCTGTCCTTTATCTATGCTCTTCGGCCACCATACTCTAACCGTCTCTTGCTTGCTTCTATCGCGGGCATGTTCAGGTTTTCATGCTTGTCCCTAAAGCCCAAAGCCTCATGTAGCTTTTACCGACACGCGCACATGGGTGGATATCACCGCATACACTCAGCACATGTTACATCGTTTCCTTAGCTCCCTCACAGCATTGTTATTCTTTTTTATTGGATCTCGCTTAATGACTACGCGTTATACGGCAACCCGACGTCACTTCGAGTGGTAAAGCGCTTCCGCTTGAATTATCATGAAACCTGTCCCACCTTATTTCGTTCTTACCTTTTTGGAGCCGGCTTCTTTTGCATCGCTGTCATCTGATAAATCCACTCCGCCTTTCTGAGTTTTCGCTTAATGACCCTTGTTGCCATATCACCTACTGTACCAGCCGTATAACTGCTGGTCAGCCTACTAGAGTTCTTTTTCTCCACTTTTTTCAGGTATTTGTGTCCATGTTATTTGTTATTGTGTTATTGTGTTATCGTGTTATTTGTGTCCATGTGTCCAGGTATTTGTGTCGAATGCTGACAAATTGTTTTTAGGGCCCTTTTCAGACAAAATCATTTCTAGTGTCGGACTGCGCTGTTCAGTTTTGGTCTGGACAAGCAACTCTGGGTCTGCCGGGAGACGTGGATTGCGCGGAATAAACTTCTAGGTCTGAACCACAGATCGGAACATGGAGGAAGGAAAGACAGGAGGGAGCGTTGCGCACTCGATTGAAGCCCACCAAGTCGGCCCAACAAGTGACCAAAACGTCAGCGCTCGCGGTAGGTTTTAGTTCTCTCGGCGCTGTTCCGTCTTTGAAACACCTCCGTGAGCCGGCCAGTCTGCGCCGAACCAGTTCATTTCGATTAAAAGCTACCGGGCGCCGTATTTCGAGGTATCGGCAAGTCTCGTTTATTGCGTGATCTCACGGCAAAAGGGCCGACTTTGTTGGCTTCAAAACGGGTTGGCTTGCCAAGGCTGGGTGCGTGACGTCATGCTCCCTCCTGTTATTTCCTTCCCCCATGATCTAGCCACCATACCCATGGGTCGGAACCCAGCGCAGCACTCTGCCGGAAATTAAGTTTTCTCTCTCTCTCTCTCCGCGAAGCAGGGGAACGCGTGGTGTGCATAAATTTTGTGCATGCACGCCACGCACGCTTTTTCTGCCTCATGAAGGTACTGCAATTCCACCAAAGAGCCCATACTTCGTCAATTAGCTTTCAACAATAACCTACTGCGTGCACAGCTGCTATCTAACGTTTGATGTAATATGTTACTACAATGCTAGGAACGAGTGAAACCTAAATTATTTTATTGGACACATTGCACTCAAGAAGATCGTTTGACCAAGTATCGTCTCGTAGGGAAGAAGCATGAAGAACAAGCAAATTGAAACAGTGCCGGCCAAGATGACAAGATTTAAAACATCTGAAATGTTTTAAATATTTTCATTTTGGCCGGCGCTCTTTCATTTCGATCGTTCTTCACATTTCACTCAAGTCACTAAAGTCTATATGTCAAGCAATAGTTCCACCTCACCAGTCCACACCTCCTCGTCTGCAGACTCTCCACTGCTTTGCGCACGTGCACTACTTCTTGGCGCGAACGCTGAGGAGTACGCTTGCATGGTTCCAACTTTTCTTGTCACTGTGTCAGGCAGGTCATAGGTGTGGCAGCACTTTCCAAGACGGCGAAGTCCGCTACGAACACTTAAGACCGCATTTGTGCTGGCAGTGCTGAGAGAATTTCTGAGTTTTGTCTTAACCACGCTTAGTTGGCTAAAACTCTTTCCACTTCTGCGTTTGAGTGCGGCAAGGAGAGCACATCAACTGCGAGCTGCGCGACCTCGTGAAACGGGTTCGAGCCAGCTGCATCACGGTACGCAGTGGCCTCGGACCAAAATGCAATGGTGTCGGTGGTGTTGGCCCAGCCCACCAGGGTCAGCTTCTTCCACTGCGCGTTCACGAGATCTATCTCGTTTGGTTTGAACACCGAAATGTTCCGCCAGCTCCGTGATAGGCTCCTTGAGTACTCGCAAGCATGCTCCCACAGACAGCCGTGCCATGCCCTGCAATATCTTGAAGTTCGATGGCAGACGTTGCCGGAGCTCATTTGACAGCTTTACTGTGAAATTAACGCATCGCTGGCGCACAAAGTCAACTTCAGGACCAGCTGGTAGCGTGCTCGCCAGTTTCTCGAACTCGTATCCCAGGTATGGCTTGGGGTCCAGGTGACCATCGATAGGCTGGCGCAGCGGATCTATCTTCGCCGTTGGAATGAGCACTTTGCTGCAAACCATCTTAATTAGGAGCGTGAGGTCTTCAAGAAGCTTTGCGGGATCCGCGTCGTTCCTCTCGTAGGCCTTGTTTGTACGCTGAACTTCTCGTAGCATTGGTCGAAGGTAGAGTAGATAAAGCTTATTCAGCGGATCAGAGTACATCTGATACAGGAGCTCTGCGGTGTAGCATCCTTCCGTTGATCTGGCTTGTTCGAAATGTTTCAGCAACATGTCCCATTAATCGAGGACTCTGACGACCGCTGGCTCCAACGATATCCATCTGGTATCGCACACCCTTGGAATTGATAGTGGTTCTTCCCCATCGCAGAGGCTACGGTAAAGTTGACTGTACGCGGCTTACGCTTTGAAGAATGGAAAACCACATGTGGGTTTCGCGCACCAAGAAGTCCACATTCCTGGGAAGCGTTCCCTGAACAGCGTGGGAAAGTGCGAGTTGCAAAGAATGGCAAATACACCTTACCATTATCAAGTTCGGGAGTTGCCACTCACGCTTAATTGTCTCGAAAATACCGTTGTTGACACCCGTATTCACCGAGGCGTTGTCAACTCCAATGCCGAGGAGACGCTTCTTGTCAAGTCCCATACGCGTGAGGAGGTTTTCCAATGCCCTGACGATTGTCACAGCTGTGCCATCGTCCAATTCGATAAGCGCAAGAAACGTCGTCACAATGCTCTTCCGAGCAGCACTGAAGTATCGCACCACCACACCCAGTAACTTAGTGATCGAAATATCTGTACCCTCGTCGATTATCAGGCTGTATTTTTGAGTCACCGATGTCAGCCACCAAGAGATCCACGAAATGCGGAGATAAACCATTCACTATGATCTTCGTGCATTTGCGCCGGTGCATGCGCATGCCTGCTGCACTTTTGCTGTCCATGAACTGTTTCTTGCAGAGTTCTGTCAGGTGTCAGCGGTGAGGAATGCAGTGTGCTCGCATATAAACAGACAAAGAGCTGCTTCACTTCTGCCGCAGGAAGACTCAGTTGCGGCTGAATACTGCAGTTTCTTCTGCCGAGAAGAACTGGAGTAGGTTCAGATGACTTCTTGTGCTTGGTGGTGGCGGCATGCTTCTTGATATCGCACAGCTTCGCGTAGAATTCGCTCATGCAGTAGGGCGCTGATGCTTTTGTTCTTCGCTCTCCACAGGACGTAGCCAGCCTTTAAACTCGGGCAGTGATTCCCAACTTTTTCGATAATGCTGCTCATACTTTGGAGGCATGATTAAGCTAGAGCGAGCGAGTCGGCACGCTACACCTAGTCCTTGAGTGTACTGGAAATAGAGAGGTGTCGCTCAGGAGTGAACGAAATCTTTTGAGCGGCTGTTTTTTCTACAGAACGAGTGATCTGCGTGCTCAGTGAGCCATGGTGAAGCAACGCTACCACGTGTTGTAGGGTGAACCGGTTGAACCACTTCGTTTGAGTTCGTGTTCTCTGAAGGGGTACGCTGGGTAGACCCCCGCAGAATCGGCCATGAACATGCCCGGATTTCAGAACCCGAGGAGCGAGGAGGGATGGTGTGAGAGATAGGCTTGCCGATGCTCGCGGAAGCACGTGGCGCACAAGTGCGCATTCAGACTTTTAGCATGGGTATGGTGGCTAGCCACCATAGAAAACAACTGGCAAGACTATAACCTTTGGAAATTTGT